TGGTTTCTGGAAAAAGCAGTACAAAACTATAAGCAATACAGTATTTCCATATCAGGAATCTTGTTATTAGTGACTATAGCTGACTTTAGGGAGGGGGAGACGAAAAGAGGAATGAAGGTGTGTTCTGTACATATATCAACTCCACACAAGGAACATAAACATTATTATGTACTCAAAACTCAAACCAAAAAAAAAGAAATGGTATGAATGATGGGATAAATGTGTTTGAAATAAACAGAAGTATTATAAGAGAACTAATGGCACTGGCACTGTGTCCTTTTTTTTTTTTTTTTGCATTTAGTACAGGGGATACAGGGTCTACAAGGTCTCACTATGTAGATCGGACTGGTAGTGATTCTCCTGTTTTCAGCCTCCCAAGTGCTGAGATTACAGGTGCACACCACCATGCCGAGCCTCCATCTCTGAAGCAGCACACCTCAGGGGTAGGGCCGGCACAGCAGGCCAGGGAAGGAACCCCAGCCGCTGCACTCTGCCGAAGCAGGTGCTTTAAGTCTGCTGAGCTATCAGGCCAGCCCTGTGTCCATTTTTTTGTAACTGGAATTGAGCTTAGGACCTTAGGCTTGCCAGGAAGGACTTATGTCACTGAGCTATCTCTCCAGCCCTTTTTTATTTATTTATTTTGGCCATAATTTTATTGATAAATAGCAATGAGACGGTCTCAAATCAAATCGGTAGGACAGCTTCAACAGTCAACACACCACACACACTCCTCCCAGTGGTCAATTGCTGTACAAGATGCAGACCTGACACCCTATTTACAAACACCATTAGAACAAATCATTCTATTCATTAAGAGAATGTAACCATATATCTATCCCAACCACCCTGAACACACAGATACAAAATGGATACTCATCTGCATACCTTTTCTTGTCAAGTTCCGCTATCCGAATATTATAGGTGTGCAATCTCAGCAAAATATTCCAAAAGAGTCCAGCAGCCCACAATAGCATTGGGTCTTCCGCTTAACTGGCAATGTCAGAAACTGCCGACCCGAGTCCCCCACAGCTCAACACAACAGCATGGCTCTACCTCTCATATCTCATCCCTATACTTTTCTACTGGATAGTTAAGACCAAGGCAAAGCAGGACCCATGCAACAAGAGCCACAGCCCCCAGGTCTGACAAGGTCAGCGAAATCCCCCCAGGATCCATCCTGAGATCCTGCACCTCAGATGGCAGAACCCCCGTCAGTGTCAGCCATGTGGTCGAGCCACGGCCATTGCTTGGCCAATGCGCTCTCCGTGAAAGCCTGAGAGAATGTCCCCTCCCCATGCGACTCTCCCCAGGCACACTCCACATCATCGACCACCTTTCTCTCTGGCCCCACAATCTTCCTGATCAGAAAACCTGGGACACCACCAAGCTATATGACGTCACAGCACAAGTTCCCATATGTCCTGAGTCCTAATTGACCTTAGAAGGCCAGGGCCAAAACGTTGACTTTCCTTGCAGCCCTCCTTTTTCTCTTAATTTTGGTCTGCAAACTTAGGTCGTTAACCATCCAGAAGACAAGTTTATTGTTATTATCAAACAACTTAGGCTGTTAAGCCCAACCCTACCATCCTTCTGCATATCAAACATCCTAGGCATAATATGGAATAGGTATTTGTCATCAAGCATTGATATGCTGAACCTTAAGTCCCCACAGACTACGACAAAAAACATTAAAAATTAGAGTATGTTTCAAAACAGGCACAAAGAACTACACACCTCTCATGTCTGCACACAAGTCCAAAAATCTCACCATATCCAACCTTGAAGGACAGTCCCACAATACTCCTCTTCCCGTCTCCCGCCTTCCCTCACCACCCACCTCTTCCCGAACATCCACCTACCCGAGAGACATCATAGCAGCAACTGGCATGTCATGACAAGCAGCCCACATTCAAAATACCAGAATGACAGGCACTCCAAGCATGAAACTATTACAAGTTACCATCTGCAGTGCACTTAGTTCACAGGTATCAGTATATATAGTTACTCAGGGTGAGAGTCTTTCCAATTAACTGCTAGATTAGAAAATCTTCTGACCAGCCCTTTTTTAAAAATGTGTTTGGTTCAGGGTCTCACTATGCAGCTTAGACTCGTGGTGATCCTCCTGTTTTCAGTCTCCCCAGCATGAGAATTACAGGTGCGCACTACTGTACCAGTCTCAGTGGCCTGCTCAGTGCACCTAGAAGCAGGGCTGTCCACTGAGCAATCTCACACGCCCCCTTGTTTCATTTTTTGAAACGGCATCTTTCTATGTAGTTCAGTCTTGCCTCCAACTTGTGGCAATCCTCTTGCCTCAGCCTCCCATGTGCTGGGATGACCAGGCCCAGCTCGTGTCGTAATTTTTAAAAATTTAAACATTTACAGTAGTTTTCAATTTTACCTTTTATATGGTGAGTTTCTACTTCTATACCAATACCAGTGATAATGTCTTAACATGGCCAAGTCTTTGTTTTCTAAAGCTACCATAGGGATAGGTTAAAATTTAGTTTTCATCTCAGCAGTAAGGAATGTTGGTTTTTCTTCTTTTGTTGCTTCTGTCTGTCTTCTTTCCTTCTTCCTTTTTTTTTTCTGGTGCCAGAAATTGAGCCATGGATGTGGTACATACTAAGTAGATGCCATACTACTGAGCTGTACCCCTAGAGCTTTGCTTTTTTAAAAAATACATAGTTGAGTTTGCTATTTTCTGTTTCTATTCAGTTCAGTGGGTTGGGGAAATAGCTCAGTGGAAAAAGTGCTTGCCTGGCATGTGCAAGGTCCTGAGTTTGATCCCTGGTACCGCAAAAAAAAAAAAAAGAAAAAAAGAGCAATTCAGAACACTGGTGCAAAGGCTTCAGTACCATCTGTGGGACCATGTCTGACTTCTTCATCCACATACACAGCGTATGCATATATAGAGCTTGGCATGGTGGTACATTCCTGTAATCCAGCACTTAGTAGGCTGGGGCAAAAAGTTCACCATGAATTTGAAGTCAGCCTGTGGTACATAGTGAGTTCAAGCCAAGCCTCAACTATATAACAAGAGTCTAAGAAGGTTATAAAGTGGTTAGAGAACGTCTTTTGGATAAAATAACTTTTTACAGTCTATACCTTTTTACATACCTTTTTGCGTATGTGTTTTGTTACTTTTCTTGGTATACCATGAATAAGTTTCCTTGTCAATGAACACACTAGTATATTTTTTCAGTACAAGGGATTGAACCCAGTGCTTCATACATGTTGGGCGTGTGCTCAACCATTGAACTACATCACCAGTCCTTTAGTATTAACATTTTATTTGGAGCTGGGAATCAAACTCAGAATCTTGCCAGGCAGGTGCCATGCCACTGAGCTATATCCCACCCCAATATTAAATTTTAATGACTTCTTTTGTGATTTTTCTTCACCATATGAATGGCAAAATTTATCTGACCAATCAATAACATATTCCTTTTCTTGACATAATTTCCTTAGGCTAAATGTGAAGGAATAGAATTTCTGAGTCAGAAGTGTCTACAAGTTTTGATGTCTGTAATATGCATTCTTCGATTGCCTTCCAGAAGATGATGCCAGTTAATATTCCCACCAACAGTGGAGAAACTTTCTGATTACCTTCTGTTAAGAAAAGATTATCTATTTCTTCCCTTTTTCAGTTTATTATCTTCACCTACTAGTCAGTATTCTAGGTATTCAGTTTGCTTTTCTTTTGTTCTGTAACTCCCCATGGATACTTATCTTCTACAAAATTGTCTTTTTTCTGCACTTTACATGCTGACAATAATCAGCACCACATTCTGGTTTTCCATATCAGAATGCATGTGATACTTGAGTTCACTATGAGCAATTTTCTTCGTTTACTCTTGTCAGTTACCTTTGCATTTTGATTTTTCTTCTCTCTTTAGTTGCTATTATAATTTTAAAATTTAATCATTGTATTTGATTGCATAGATAACATATTCAACATCTATCAGAGGTTATGCGGTGAAAAGATCCCTACCTACTCTGTTCCTTATTTCTTCTCTCCAGAGGCAATATGGTTTGACAGTCTTGAGTGGTATTCTAGAAATATTTAGGATAATAAAAAAGCAATTATACTACTGTTATGATTTATTCTCCATGATATGAAAAAATTATGGGGTCTAATTAGTTCTTTTTGAAGCATGAAGCCTTGGTTCTCCCCACCTTATATGACTTTTTAGGCATTGGAAATATGGTCCTATAACCTATATTTATGGCCATTTTTTGTGATAGAAATGTGGATTGTCTTGAATTCCTTTATAAGTGAAGGTTTTTCTCCTCTAGGAACCAAAGATAAACCATGATAAGTCCCGTATTAAGAGTCCTAAGCCTGCTGAAAGCCCCCAGCCACCTGTTAAGCAGTGTGATCAGCCCATTGCTGGTTATGAGTATTATGATGCTGGCAACCATTGGTGCAAAGGCTGCAGTAGCATCTATGGGACCATGTTTGACTTCTTCACCCACATGCACAATGAAAAGCACACACAGGTAGGCATCTCACCCTTTGTTATTTCCACTGTCACTTTCATTACCTTTGAAGATATGTATTCCTGTCTGCATTACAAAGCTGGAAAATGAAAACTTCTCAATCTGAAGACCAAGAGATACTAACAAAAGAAACATCATCCCTAGGACTCAGTCCAGGGGACCTGCCTAAAATTAAACATCATGATAAGTGTAAGTGAGGCCTCTGCCTCTTTTGATTCTTTATGTGCCTAATTTTTTTGGTTTCAGTTTACCTATTTTTAGTACTTACTCTAACATGTGTTTGCCTTTCCACAGGTGATTTCCATTTAAACAGTTGGCAGAGGGAGTGGGTGGGGGATAGGTAGGGACTTCTGCTTCCCTGGTCTTATACATGGGGGGAGAAAAGAGAGAAAAGAAAAGTGGATCATTGCATTTTTAGTACTGTTATTTGAGCGCCTCTGCCTCTTACAAATAGACACTGGATCCCTACCACAGACCTTGGGCTTCAAAGACCCAGAGTGAAGCCAAGGAAGATGCTGTAAAGCGTACTGACAAGATAACTATTCCTGCAAAAGGTATGTTTCCTCCTTACCTCCACTGTGGTTTCTATATATTCATTAGAGAAGGTGTGTCTCTAAACTAAGGTACTAGGAACCAGCATAGTATAGACTTAGCTATTCCTTTTAATAAAATTGTGGAAGAATGGCTTTGACATCTACAACAGTGTGGTAGATCCTAAAGATAGAAAAAGACAGTGATCTCTACCCATATGGCTAGAAATCTAATAGATATTCAATATTTAAGTACCACTTGAAATAGAACAACTGTCTTTATCATTAACTTATACCCCCAAATCTTATTTATTTGAAGTCCATGTATAAAGGACAGTAAAAGGTGTAGTAATTTAACTACCTTTTCAACGAAGAACTATAAAATATTTTGAGTTAAATGGTAAGCCAAAAGTTTGACTTAAACTTCTTAAGTTCTTTTTTTTTTTTTTTTTCTTTTTGCGGAACCAGAGATTGAACTCAGACCTTTTGCTTGCCAGGCAAGCGCTTATTCCACTGAACCATCTCCCTGGCCCAATTTCTTAAGTTCTTATCTTCACAAGTAATCAATGATGGGTACCACATGCTTTATTTAGCTGTATGGAAGATAGATTCCTGAGTATTTAATACTAATATGAGAGATCCTCGTATAAATGTAGGGGGCTGTTTTTGCTGTTTTAAACTTCTCAGGATGCTTTAATCTGCTCTTCAATTAGCTAGTATTCACAAGAGGTAGAAGGAATAGAGGTTGAGAGTTCAAGGCTTAGATTGGGAGGACTGTGTCCTTGGATTCATCTAAAATGCTGCTTCTGACTTCAGATTGGGTAAGGTCCTTGATACTACAACCATTGTTCTACAAAAAGTTGGTGTCATTTCCTTTGGTTGGTGTCAACCTGAACATTTATGGAAAAGTTTATTTTCTTTATATAATATAAGTTTATTTCATTAACTTATATTTCTTCCAGGCTCTGAGTTTCTGATTCCTACCACTGGATTTTACTGCCAACTCTGTGAAGAATTTTTGGGGGATCCAATTTCTGGAGAGCAACATGTGAAGGGTCACCAACACAATGAGAAATACAAGGTTGGTTTTTATAATACCCTGTGGAGTTATCACCTTTTGACTTTGTAAAATTTCAGCGTCAGAAGTAATCCCTGGCACTTCAGATACCACATAACAACTAAGATTCTTCTCAATCCTAATGAGAAATGTAGAGCTAACAGAAGAGCTAATAGAAGGAAAGATTACTCAGACTGTTCTAGGAATTTCTGATAAGTGAATTCTAATAATGGCAGTGGTCAAGATTTTTTTACACTATTTTGACCAGTTGTTAACCTTTATCTTTTCTCTTCCCAGAAATATGTGGATGAAAATCCATTGTATGAGACAAGGCGGAATCTGGAGCGGCGGAATCTGGAGCGGCGGAATCTGGACCGCCAGCCTAACCCATTTGCTGTGGTCTTAGAGAAGGAACGGCGACGGCAAAATGAGCTAAAGCGCAAACTTAGGGAGAAACAAAAAGAGGAGAAAGAAAAAAAGGCGAAGGTTGTGAAAGAAACAAAGGAGAGTGACAAGATCTGTATGGAATTAGAAGATCAAGTCCCTGAGTGTTGGAACTCCCCTGAAAAAGCTGAAAATAAAAGGAATCTGAACATCAAACTCCAATTAAAAGAAGAGGTGAAGAAAGAATCACCATTATCATCATCTTTTGGGAAATTCAGTTGGAAGAAGTCAGAAAAAGAAGAGGAAAAGAGTTCAGAGGTGACCTCAAGTATCCTTAAAGAAGAGATTGTGGAAAGTAGTAAGGACAAAGAAGATGGCAAAGCTGAACCTGGAAAGTCGAAACCCATCAAAATCAAGCTGTCTGGGAAAACTGTTGTTGCACATACCAGCCCATGGATGCCTGTTGTGACAACTTCAACGCAGACTAAAATCCGACCCAACTTGCCTATTCCATCCACAGTGCTCCGCAAGTCAGGTTCAGCTACTGTGAGCAAGCCTGCTCCTCTTAACACCTTTCTGTCCATCAAGTCCTCTGGAACCACTGCTAAACCTCTGCCAGTTGTTAAAGAGTCTTCAGCTGATCTCCTCTTGCCTCCAGACATCATCTCCAAAGCTTTTGGAGGAGAAGAGGTGATTCTAAAAGGGTCTCCAGAGGAAAAAGTGCTGGCTGAGAAGAATGATCCATCCCATGTACCTGAGCAAATGTTGCCACCACCACCACCACCACCACCTCCTCCCCCACCTCCTCCCCCACCACCACCTCCACCACCCCCAGTTGTATCTCATCCCACTGCTCCAGCTCCTGCTCAAACAAATGTGGTCTTGACTCCAGGAAAATCAAACTCAGCTGTTTCTCAGACTCTCAGTTCTGGCTTCCTGGGTCCTAACATCTTGAACCCAGTATTGCCTGTAGCCTTCAAGGCTTCAGCACAGCCAGCTGCCATTCCTTCTGATGAGACAGCTCCTGGGGTGAGTGAGAGTGACTGGGACCAGACCCTGTTTTCTATGTTAGTGCGTCCTCCTCCACCCCTCTCAAGTGTGTTCAGTGAACAGGCCAAAAAGGTAGAGAAGCGAAATTCATGCTTAGCCACAGCTAATGCTAAGGATTTGTATGATATATTCTATAGCAGTGGTGGAAAGGGGGCCTCTGAGACTAAGTTGAGTAGTGGTCCATTGGCTAATGGGGAAAATAGCCACCTTTCTAAAACTGAAAATTCATATACCTCTTCCACTTTTCCCCTGACTAGCAGTGCATCTCAGAAGGAGATGCCTCAAGACAGAGGCTTGGTTCCTGCTCCTATAGTTAGGAACCATGAAAATCCCATTGTAGAAACTCTGATGTCTATAGGAAAACAGTCTGTTGTAAAAGAAATAGACTCAAAAAGCAGAGACAGTAGCTATAGCTTCTTACAGCCTCTGACAAGGTTGTGCCAAAACAGGCCTTATAAAACTACTTCTCTAAAGACAGGTACTTCAACCATGTGGACTAATAGCTCTTTTCAGAGTGATGCTGATAGGGATCTAGCTTCAAAGAAGCAAACTGAACTTGACTTGGAAGAGCCAGGACCACCTGGTGTAGACCTGAATTCTCAGTCATCAGGTACACACTGTCATACCAAGGAATCTCAGAAAATGGTAGTTCACCTCATAGATTCTGGTGACCAAGAAAAGGAAAGCCAAGAACTCCATAGCTGTAAGGATTATGGAAAAAGTGAAATAGAGACAAACATTGAATTAAAAGGAAGGGTAGTTAAAGAGGGAGCAAGTACTAGCTGTGGACCCCATAGCACAGAAGACTCTAACTTGAACCATGAGAACAGATACATGTGGGAGGGAGAAGTAAAACAACCAGAGTTGCTAATGATTGACAGAGAGGCTGAACAGTCTAAGAAATTAGTGACAGGATGTGAAACTCCAAGTCAGGTATGGGCTCTTTCTTCTACAGAAACAAAAATAGATTCATTTTCATCAGAAGGTAGGTTTTTACTTCAGAATCCACAAGATAAGCCAGGGAAGATTTCCACCCCAGAGTTGCTTCTTCAGTATCCATCAAGACCAGATACATATTTAACAGAAAATCCCCAGGAACAAGGAGTTTCAGGTGGTAGTGAAGAATGGTTAGAAAATTCAACTCTGGAATCAGCTTCCAGAACTTCTAAGTATGGAAGTCTCAAATTCCAAAGAGAAAGATCAAAAGATTTTCAAGGTAAAATGATCTATGAGTTGGCTGTTTGGGATGAGAACAAGAGCCTAGAGAAACCCAAAGTAGAAACTGTGAAGCTTCAAGATGTTCACCCAGAATTAACAACAACATTAGAAAGCAAGGCCTTAGCAGACCTTCAAGCTACACACTTAAAGGAGCTTGCAGCTCGGGGGAATCTGGCAGATACACGCATTGATTTCTGTGATACTCACTTAGACCCAGAACACAGACCCCTGACTACCCAATCTCGGAAAGCATCTGAAGAAAATTCTGTATCTCCTACAGGGTATAATCCCTCAACCTCTAGTGACTTTGAAGCAGTCTCATCTTTTTCTGGGTTTCCATTAGATTCTCCCCAAACCCTGGTGCTTAATTTTGCAACAGAAGGTGAACATAATTCCTCTAACTCCACAAGTGGGAGGATTACTTCTCCCAACATTTTGAAAACTGGACTTCCTATAGAAAATGTTGACCGTGGCTTGGGCAGCCTAGAGAGAACACATCAGGCCCTTGACCTGTTGTCAGGGGGAAGGCTGCATGAAGAAGCAGAAGAAATGTCCCAGTTACAGAAGCAAGAGTCACTCGGGTTGGAATCAGAAACAATTAGCCCTGTAGGCCTTGGACCATCTCATTGCCTTCCAGATCTTGTTGACTTTGTCTCACGGACATCTGGCATTCTGAAAGAGAAAATGAGTTCTCCATTCTGTGATCCAGATGACCCTCCTAAGTGTAGCTCCTTGGAGATGGGACCACTACAGCTAGAAATCCCAAATGTCTCCATTACAGAGATAGCAGTTCTTCAAGAAGATGAAGATAATGACAACCCTTTGAATTTGGTCAAAACTCCAGCTTCAGGGTCCCCTTCGGGGAAGCAGGTGGTCGGAGGCAGTATCATCCCTCAGGAAATGACTGATGAGGAAGCTGCAGTCAGTCCCTTCCAGGACCACACAGAATCCAGTGTTCATGACTAAACACCCAGGGCTCCTTGTGGATGAACCAAATTGGCTTCTAGAAATTGGATGCCCAGGTGACCCAAGATTGTCAGCAATCTCATCTAGAACCTACACCATGAGATGTAGTCAACTTCTTACAGTAAATATTTATGAAAGCTAAAAAATGTACCTCCTTTCCTCCCCCCCCCCTTAAAATATCAGGCAAATCAATCATATATATATCTGTAAAAAAAAATTCTGTTAATGTTTTTTATCTTTTGGCCAAATTATTTTCTCCTACTTTGTCATTAAAGTCAAATGTCTTATCTGTTCACAAGTGTGCTCTGATTGTATTTTGGCTTTGATGTTGCCATTTGTAGAGTATGAGGGAGTGGGGAAAACCAGAGAACTGACTTTTCCAATTACTGTGTTGTCTTCCTACTAAAATTCCTGGGCAACTGATGGATGTCTGGGAGAGACACCAGAAAGCTACTGACAAAGGAAGAATTGTTCATCTCTTAGGCTTCTGTTTGGATGGGCCTGCTTAACATTGTTTGAAATGCAGCGTGAGTAGCCCCTTTGTTTATTGTTTATTTCCTTCCCTATTGGCATGTCACCTCCCATATTTCCCTTCTTACTCTTGCTGTTGCTTGAGATGGTCCTGATGGCCCACAAACCTATTTGGAAATGGCCTCAGTAAACATGGAAAGAAAATCTGGCAGACTTACAGAAGACAGCAAATCGGTAAGGCTCATTCATTGCATGGCCCGATACCAGAAGCAGATATGTTTTTGGGAAATTGCTTTCATTCTTTAAATTACATTTGCTCATTGTACTGTGCTCCAATAATACTTTGTGTTAAATTGTTTAGCAACCATTTGTGTTCTGAAGAGGCAGAAGACCTAAAACTTGTCTTGAGATTGAACTCATTCTGTTCCACAAATCTGTATGTATCCCCCTTCCTCTACTTCTCCCTTTCCCAAATTATTTTCACCAGTGTGATGTTTTTGGTTGTACATTTGTTAAAAATATTAAAGAGTTTATAAGTTGGCTTGAACACGTTTAACTTTATTTTTTAATGTGTTAATTTCATGGAATAAATGCATTAATCTCATGTTTCTTTCTGGATTGTTTGGAAACCACACACATTTGAACTTCAAAGGAAGACAAAAACAGTGAACCTGTACTGACCTGTTTGTTCTCACCTCCAGCCATTTTTTTCTTCAGTTGTCGGCACTACTACTCCCTTGGAACCAGAATGTTAAATTAGATAATCTATGCCCCTGTGCTGCCACATAGGTGGTAAGAGACCTCAGTGGTCTGGTATTGGTGTCTTCTTACTGTGGAGACACCAATACCTCATAAACCCTTGTTTTAGCTCAGGCTTTTCCAGGAACGGAGTTTCCTTAGGACAGTCAGGTTCTTGCTGAGGTGCTCAGGTTCTTGCTGAGGTGCTCTTTGGTGAGGTGACTTTTTTTTTTTTTTCTCAGGACTGGGGATTGAACTCAGGCCCTTGAGTTTGCCAGGGAAGCACTTATTCTACTGAGCCATCTCCCCAGCCCCTGAGGTGCTCTTTGGAATCAAGGAGTCAGCCCTCTGTTTTCTAATTTCTGTCCCAGTTTCCTTCTGCAATCCTTGTGAGCAATTTGTAACCTGGCTCAAATAGGCTTCTGAGTCCTTTTCCCTCACCTAGTCCTCAAAGGTAATATTACTAGTCTTACTCTCAGAATTCTTTTTTCCTAGAATCCTTAGGTTGAATTCTAGGAGGCTTAATGACATTACTCATTAAGTAATGTCAATGTGGAAGCCATTCTGGCCCCTCTTCATATGGTGGAAAGGAAACAGATTTGAGAGACCTAGTCATTGAAAATGCCTCCACAACTTGCTGTGACTTTGTAACTTTTTTTTTCCCAACTTCTGACTCTTAAGACAACCTCGTGCAGGTTCAATTATTATTATTATTATTTAAACCAGAAATCAGACTTTACCTTGCATTTGCCAGGTAGGCCCTTGTGCCACAGAGCTATATCCCTGGCCCCATTTGCTGTGATTTTTTTTTTTTTATCTTTTTTTTCTTTTCTTTTCTTTTTCTTTTTTCTTTTCTTTTTTTTTTTGCAGAACTCAGGCCCTTGAGCTTGCCAGGGAAGCATTTATTCCACTGAGCCATCTTCCCGGCCCCCCCCATTTACTGTGATTTTTGACAAGGTGTTTAACCTCACTGTGTCATAGGGTTCTTTTTTTATTTATTATTTATTTATTTATTTGGCAGAACCAGGGATTGAACTCAGGCCCTTGTGCTTGCCAGGCAAGCACTTATTCTACTGAGTCATCTCCCCAGCCCCTAGGGTTCTTTTAAGATGAGGATTATCATCCACATTTCAATACCAAATGTTTACAAAGGCAGGCTGTTCTGATAGGCTTGCTTTTTCAGCTGTAGCCCACATTCAGCGTACTTCTGACCTGAAAACCACAAAATGACTCAAAAAAAAATATATATATATATATATTTTAAATTTTTTAAAGAACCCTTTAGATATCTATTTTTATAATATATATTATATTATATTATATTATATTATATTATATTATATTATATTTCCAGGGCTGACATGGCATGTGGTACCAGGGACCAAACATGGGACCTTGTGCTTGCCACGCAGGCACTTAGACCACTGAACCATCTCCCCAGCCCTTGATAAAGTTTAAACCCAGGAGCATTGATGCCGATCATGGTGCACACACCTGCAATCCCAGCACTTGGGAGACTGAGGCAAGAGGAGCGTTTCAGGTGTAAGACCAGCCTCAGCTACAAAGTCGGCTCAAGACCAGCCTAAACTGCACAGTGAGGCCTTATTTCAAAAAGACACACCCCACCCCTGCTGCTGCCAAAAATAAGAAGTGCTTTGGAAAGCTTTTTCTTATTTATTTTCTTTTTTCCTAGGATGTTATCCTCAGAATTTTGGGGACATAAGAGTTTTAAAAATGCTAGTTTGCTTTGACTTTCAGGCCTGTTAATTTATTGTTTAACCTCTCTGGGAACAGATAGTTGGGTTTAAGGAAAGAGTGGAGAGAAGTTAATTATATGCAGGTCTTAACCTCACTGTTTCAGAAGGTTAAAATCGTCCCCCCAGGTAAGAGTAGGGTCATCTGAGAGGGATAAGAGAAGCAAATTCCATGAGGGGCAAAACTAGATGGGTGGGGCTGGAGTACTTAGAGCCTAAATTTTGGTAATAACTTGTAATTACTGGATAGCTTCAAGATTTACTCCAAAGTGGTCTATCAGCCTGGAGATTTTTCTAGAAGGCACATATCTAACACTTGCAGAAATGGCGTTTTTCATATCCTGAACCAGGAAAGGGAGAGCTTTTAGGATTTCATAGTTTGACAGGAAGTGATGCTGCTTTCTAGCCCTTTGATTCTATCCCTTGGGATCTAGCTTTGGAGCTCATCCAGAAAAGCTGTGAGGAAAGAAGTGGGTGGGAGTCTAACCCATAGCTAGCACCAAGAGGTAGGTGTATTTCTTTTTATGCCCTCCCATCACAGTATTGAATTGAAGTTTGAACTTGGAGACTAAGCGCATGCAAGGAATGGGCCCTATCTTTACAAGTGGCTTGTGTGTAAACCAGCTGTTTTAGATTTCTGCAAATATCGACCCAACTTTGTGAGCATAAATGAGCATCAGTTATGGTTAAATGTGGGCAAACACCTACATGTACCTAAGTTGTATAAATAACCCTCTAAATATTCCCTTGGCTTTCTGAATGGAGGCTTCCTGCCTAGTAAGCTGCCATTCTATTCACAAGGCATATAATACTTTTAATATTTATCTTTCTGCTAATACTTCTGAGTATATAGGAAAGTTGTTCCACCTTATCCTATGCCACTACATCTCTAAAAAGAACAAATCCATAAATTATGTAGTGTTTCAGTAGCAGAGCATAGCTGAATATAAGTGTCATCAAATTTCCAGATTCTGGGTCTGAGGAACAATGGAAATTAGACACACAGGACACTGGAATCCAATAGGAATATTGTGTCTTTTTTTAAGGAGTGAAGATTCACACAAGAGAAAGTCTATAACACATGAGATTCATTGTTTTTGTTTTGTTTTGACTGTCTGTCTGAACTCTGTTTCTCCTCACTTTAGTAAGACTTAGTAGATGTAGAATGAGATCCTAAGCAAAGTCAATGATTTATGTGAGAACACAGACATGTGGAAATAGATTATAAGAACATTTCTTCTTAGAGTTTACTTTTACTTTTTAGCTTAAAAATTATGTATACAATAATAGTCATTGATAAATAAGCAGTTGAACTTTCACTGAGAATCTGCTACTCAAAAATCATTGTCCTGAACTTACCTCCACTTACTCATTTTTGGAGAAAGATAATTCATAAACATAAATGTTTATGTTACAACACTCAGCATGGTTTATAATTTTACATATGTGTGGTTCTTTGATTAATATCCACCCCAGCTGTATTATAAACTCTGAAACAGGACTTTGTCTTTGCTTGCTGCTACGTCATCATATTCTCAGTGCATGGTTGCTTGGCACACAAGGGGCACAATAAAAATTTGATGCAATAATCAGTGTGATAATAGCTGTTTTTCTTAACTGATCCTTAATATTTAGCAATTTATGAGTGAGTGAAAACTGAGTTGATGATTGTAGTTTGTGGTTGCTTAGCACTTCAGAAGCCAGCTGTCTGTATACAGAACACCGTCTGTAGTAAAATGCTATGTCAGGGCTGCCAGTGGCCCCTTGTTTCAGCAGTATTCTAGAGTAGTGTTGCTAAACTAAGAAGGATACACACTGCCCCTGCAGCAGCTCCTAGAAGAGAAACTATGGAGGAGGATGAGGAAAAACTGACTTTAGAATTACAAAAAACAAAAAACAGATTTTGAGAGCTCTGTTGTTCAGATGACCCATTTTCTTCTTTGAGCCAGATAAGTATGTTGAAATCAGCAGAGCCCTAAACCACTCTGATTTGACTGCAGAATAACTCAACATTTTATGACCCAGCATCCTCTTGTCATCAAGACTTAAATCAAGCTCAATTTCATTTCTGGATGGAAACAAAGTATTTAAAGTTTATCTTGAAGAATGAGGAGCAGTGCTTTTACTTTTTGTCTTTTCCATTGTTTTATCTTCTGGCCATGAAAATGCATTTTATATAAAAATATTTTATACTCATAAAATATGTATGCATGTGCACACAAAATATGTTTATGTCTGGTGCTGCAGAATTATTGCCAAGTTTGTTCCTGGATACTTTTATGGATATAAAGTTTTTAGAGTTGTCTCTTTTGGTGCATCCTATCTTCATGACTCACATCTATTTTCCACAGTTACAAATTGGTCCTGTTTTTTCCCCTTGAGATTTCCTAAACCTCTCTACTATACTTTTTTTTGTACCAGCAATCAAACTCAGGACCTTGTGCTAGCCAGGCAGGCGTTTGTGCTGCTGAGCCACATCTCCAGCCCTAGCACCACACCTTCTTAAAGAATCTCCTACCAGTCTTCTCCCTTTCTTCCTCTTCTTCTCACCTCTACCTCTATTGAGCTGTGTATATCCACTGATTGAAGTACGTGGTTATTAAATTATATAAATCAAGATACTTGTCTCTACAGAGCTTACTTTCATGAGAGAACACAAAAGATAGCAATTTGTTGCATGAAAAATGGTATAAGATATAATTTACATCTACTTATAATGATTTAATGCTTTATATTCCTCTATTCCTTCCATTCATGGGGAATCAGTTAAGAAAGGAGTTTTGCAGAAGATAAAGGAAATGAATATATTTAAAAGAAATGAATGAGCAGGATGAAAATAGAGGCATAGTTACATAATCAGAGAACAAAAGGTGTAGAGGATGTAGAGAAAAGGCAAAAAGATGAAATCAATTTTATTTTTTTTAAATTTATTTTATTTATTTAGTGTGTGTGTGTGTGTGTGTGTGTGTGTGTGTGGCCAGCTCAGCCCACCAGGGAGCGGGGCTGGCTGGCATGTGGTGCTGGGGATTGAACCGCGGTTCCTGTGCTTTGCTA